GTCCTATTTTTGACCTCAATAGAGTCTGCTCTGATGATGAAAGAGGAGACGTTTTAACTCTGTCTTTATCTATTAAAACAGTCTTCAACATTTTGACATAGTCTTTCTGGCTCAGAGAACAATAGTTTCATTTTCTTGGCTGAGATCAAGACCCAAATATTTGAAAGACTCACAGGATTCTTTCCCTACCTTGAACATATCCCTAATTCTGGATACAACACTTTCCTCAAAGGAACTGGATCCTGCCCAAAGAAAGTCATCTACATGAACTGCTAGGACACCAGTCAAACCTTTTTCATTATACCAATAAAATACTGCTGAATCAATCTTTGACACTGTTCCTCCACAATCTAGCAATGTTGTTTTAACTTTTTCGTACCACTTTAAGGATGCATCAGCAAGACCATATACACATTTGTTTAGGCGCCAGACTTTACCATTTGCTTTAGCTTCTTTAGGAGGTCTCAAGTAGACTTCTCTTTGCATTTTCTCTCCTTGCAGGAAAGCAGTTTTAATATCAACTGAATTAATTGACCATCTTTTATTAGCAATAATTGATAAAATCAGTCGTAGAGACTGCTTTTCACATGTTGGAGAATTCTTTGGTATCTCATCTAGGCTGTCTTCTTCAAAACCTTTTGCTACCAATCTAGCTTTTCTATGAAATTCGTTTTCCAATTCTTTCATAGTGTAAACCCACCTTGTGGAGATACAGTTTTGACCATTGTCTTTAACTTCTTCATACACATTGTGCTTTCTCCAGTTATCCAGTTCTGCCTCTTTAGCCTCGGTTAAATCAATATCACTTAAAAGTACATCTTCATTCTCGTCATCTTTTAAATCATTGACTGTTCTTAGATCAATTGAAATCTGTTCACCCCTAATATTTTCTGGCTGGTTGTATTCTATATTGAACCAGCTCTTCTTATCAGTTGTATAGCCTTTCCTGCCCTGCCTAAAATTATTGCTTCTCTTGTGTCATTTTCACCATTAATTTTAAAATTCACCATCTGATCCTTCTTTAATTTCATACAATCATTTGCCTGTGACTCAGCATTATGTTCCATACTTTCCTCATGTATATCATTCTCTGCCTGATCCAAATCAAGGCTGTCTCTCTCATCAGATTCAGGACTAACTCCACCATTCAAACTACCATTCTGGCTACCAGCATGACTATCATCTTGATCAGCACTATCAGCAGCACTCTCGTCTGCAGATCCTTCAACATTTTCTTGGTTTTCATCATTGTCAGTATCATTGTGAAGAGGCTCTTCATCATCACTCTCATAGTATACTAGGTCATAATCTGGTTCAGTGTTGTTGTTGTTGCTATAGGTTGCAGCTTGCGACTTACGCACATGAGTTGACTTTGCTGTATGCTTATGAGTAATCTTTTGTTTTCTTTCAACATCAATGTCTCTTTTTATTCTACTTTCATGTACGCGCACATATGTACCTCCATATCTTACAAAAACAACTACATTATCTTGACCTATTACCCAGCCAGGTCCTTTCCACTGATTGTCTCGAAGGAAGAAAACTTTGTCACCATTTTTGAATTTTTCTCCTGAAGGCTGGATTTGCTTGCGTAGTGCCCTTCTAACTTTCTCAGAGGATTCTGCCGCAATAAATGCTTTTCTAGCTTCGTGTAAGCCAACTAGATGTTTTCCCATAACGTTACTAAGGGTTGTACCTTCTAATGCAGGAGGCTTGTTAACTATAGATGATGGCATGTTTGGGTTCCTTCCAAAAACTATTTGATATGGACTATAGCCATACACGTTCAACAAACTGTTCTTAGCATGAACTGCCCAACTGATGGCAGTCTCCCATGAACGATTAGAGCTCTCTCTCATTTTATTGATGGTTTCTGTTAGAGTTGCATTGTGTCTTTCAACTACTCCATTGGACCATGGACTGTATACTGCTGTTGTTTTTACTGACATATTCAAATTTTCTGCCATGTCTCTAAATATCTGTGAATTAAATTCTCCTCCATTATCTGTATAAACACCAACTTCAGGTGCACCATAAACACCAACCCATATCTGCATGAACTCGTCTACAATAACTTAAGAATCCTTTCTTCTGATGATAGCAGCTGCACTCAATCTGCTGAATAAGTCAATAATATGTAGATAATAAAAGTTATGGTCAATTTCATGAAGGTCCATTGCCACAATTTGATTGAAATCATTTGCATGTGAAAAGGCAACCACTGGTTCGGCTTTTGGATGTTTGAACTTGTGGCAAATTAAACACTTTGAGCAGATATCTTTAAGAATTGTCTTTGTTTCAGAATCAACATCACCAGCACTTTGCAAAAGGGATAAAAGTTTATCTGATGATGCATGTCCAAACTGCTTGTGCAACTTCAATAGAATCTCCCTTTTCTTCTTAAAAGATAATTTTGTATCAATGCACAAAACCTCCTCACTCTCATTTTTGTTTCTGTTTGTATATTGCTTGTCTTTAATGTTGATACAGTAATGACCACTTGAAGTTAGGTTCACATCCACTAACTGTCCAAACATGGTAACCTGGTCATTGCTGAGATCAAGGATAGTGCTTGCTCGCTTCAGAGAGGTTTTACTTAACAATAACGGTATTTCACAATCCACTACTTCTGTTTCAATTGAGCACTTAACTGACCCAATTAGTGCTGGGATTTTCACTTTCTGATATGAGTATACTGTTTGTCCATCACCAAACTTGAATGGTACATGACTTTCAAAACAAGTAATTTGATCAAGCCCTGGATCAAGTGATTCTACAAATTCATACAACCATTTAGAACCACATACTGTCTTAGAACATGCAGTATCAATAACTGCGGCATTGTAGGCTTCTGCGACAAACACTGTTAGAGGCTTAAATTCTTGTGCTGAGGTAAATAATGTTATATTTACAGTTTCATTTAATTCATCACTCTCATGTTCTGTTAAATTTACATCAAGCTGCTTGTGAGGACAATCCTTGACCCAATGAAATTTGGAATCACATATTTTACATCTTTAGACATTACCATTAAAGACTGGATTCATTTTAGTCTTAAGTCTACTAAAGTTGGTAGATCTATCAGCTCGATTACGAGGAAAATTTCTTCTTGAACTTCGACCTCTCTGATAATAGCCATCACTGACAAAAGCTGATTCTTCTTTAACAGTTACAACAGAGTCTCGTTCTCCAGGAACATTTTGAGATTTTGATGCAAATATCCTATTCAAAGCAGATTTCATTGTGTCGAATTTAAGGTCAGAACATGCAGTTAATGCCAGCTGACGATAACTTTGACTTAATCCAGCATTGTCCAGAAGTTTAAAAGCTAGAATTGCGTCTGGAAGTCCCATATCATATTTCTTACATTTATTATATCTCTGCTCAAATTCAATGATATAATCAGACATGCTTACATCCTGTCCTCTGTGGAACTGATCAAATACAGTATAAGCAGCATAAGCCTGATCTATTTTATCCTTCTCAAAAAGCTTGTCCAACTCAGTTATTAGCTTATCTACTCCTTCATCAACATTTAAATCACTGGGATCTACTTCTAGGGCTACTTCCCTTGGTTTTCCTTGTAACGACAAAGCTAAAGCCAAACCTCTCTTCTTCTTGTCCAGATCAGTCACGAGTTGCCACATTTTTACCTCATTTTTCCATTGTTGATAACTCTTATCTTTGGTCAAACCTGGTGGGTTCTTGTAACTAGGTGCTGTTGCCATCTTTATTAGCTCTGCTACCACTGTTAGTTGATTAATTATGGCTTCAATATAAAATCTATTGTCTAATCTAATGTCTTTACTAATATATAAACAAAACCCACCAAGTAACATGTACCTGAAAATAATATAAACAAAATAATAGAAAACACAATAGTTAACAGATGATTGCTGCCGCGTTTGAAAAAGGCAGTCACACATGTGCGGTCATACATTATTCAGCATCATGTCACATGATAATTTTATCAATAGATTATTGGGAGTGCTAATTCTCATGTATCTGCTGTGTATATGCCGCACTTTCTTCACATGCTGTGTCTTATCTATGATTAAAATATTTGGGATAATAACAAATTAGTTAGTAACATATTTCGATGAATGATACTTTATATTTTTGTATACTTTTATGATTTTAATAAACGTCCCGGTTAGACATCGGTTTGAGCTTATATTTCTTTGGAAAATTCCTGATTTTACTAGATATTGTACAAAAAAATAAAAAGGCAACCTTGAATACAATTTTCCATAGCAAAATCCTTATTTGTGAACTTTTGTTGCTGCAACAACAAACGATGTACAACTATAATGATTCCCCTTTAACACTGATGGTGAATAATTTTTTGCATCTTTTTTATCGACGAACTTCCATCGTCGACATATCAACCAACATTAAACGTTGAAACAACATATTTATTTCAACCTAACTTCAACATAAAAAATTCACCTAAAATTCAACGTTGAAACAACTTACTTTCTGCAACATAACTTCGACGTTGCTGTTACAACGTTGAAACAACGTTGAAGCAACGTCATGACAAAATATCAACCACATTTCAACGTTGAAATGATGTTGCGTGCCGGGTGGGCATGTACTTACGAAAAAGGGCAGGGCGTCTTAAAAAGGGCACAGGGCGTCAGAAAAAGGGCACAGGGCGGCACTCGGGAAAACGACCTAGCTGGAACACTGTGATAGTTATGTGTAAGTAATGGATAGCTGGCAGTATTATTTTGAAATTGAAATGTTTTGGTTCACATGAATATTGTTGTTCATTTCTTTATTTCTTCATATTGTTAGATACATTATTTCAAATGTTATACACATTGTTTCTGTTCCCCCTAAGTACCAGAAAATAAGATACTTTTGAGGCACCAATTTCCACTCTAAATTTATCAGTATTTGTTATAATATTAATTATAAATATTATATGAATTTTATCATTTTTTTCTTGACATTTCTTGCAGTATTTAATGATTTTTATCATAATTATTTTCCAGGTCATTTTCCAGGAACAGTATCAGATATTTTCCATCTCTAGCTTTGAAGGGTGTCACCAGTTTAATATATCTGTAAGGCTTTCATCTTTTATTGTCAAATTTATATATATCACCGTATCATAAATTTGAAATCTGTATATGTTCTGAATAGTTTTAGAATCTATACTCGTATGTATATTGTGATAAATTGATATAAATACATTACTGAAAAACACTCTTTCACTTTAATTACCGTATACCCCTGCCACAAAAAAATTGGAATTTTGTTTTCTGTCCATTTGTCTGCTGTTATGTTAGCTACCTGGTTTGATTGCTTCTACTTTTATCCCTAATATGTTCATATGTTGCAGTATGCACATAATGAAAATAAGCATAAAGTCAAATGATATTACTAAATTCAGGCTCGTATAGTATGTGGTTTTATTCTCAAAAATTGAACCTGCCAGATAGGGATGCAGATTATAGAATATGATAAACAAGAATTGAGAGAAAATTTGATTTTGTAAAGGTTTGTTTACATTCCACCATGTTTGTTATTGAAACTGTAGAGGGCTCTCTTATCATTTTCAAAACATATAATTTACCTTATCCATATTGATATGCATTTTTTAGCTCACCGGGGCCCGAAGGTCCCCATGTGAGCTTATGCCATCACTTGGCGTCCGTCGTCGTCTGTCGTCTGTCGTCGTCCTCTGTCGTCGTAAACTATTTAAAAAATCTTGTCCTCTGAAACTACTGGGCCAAATACCTTCAAACTTTAACTAAATGTTCCTTAGGGTATCTTGTTTATAAATTGTATCCGAAATTTTGATCTATCGACAAACATGGCCGCCATTGCTAAAAATAGAACATAGGGGTCAAATGCAGTTTTTGGCTTATATCTCAAAAAAATAAATCTTTTAGAGCAAATGTGACATGGGGTAAAATTGTTTAATTGGTCAAGAGATATCGGCCCTGAAATTATCAGACGAATCAAACAACCCATTGTTGGGTTGCTGCCACCAAATTGGTAGTTTTAACAAAATTTAACAGTTTTTAGCACACCTGGCCCGAAGGTCCGTCGTCGATAGCTTTTTACAAAAATCTTCTCCTCTAAAACCACTGGGCCAAATTTAACCAAACTTGGCCACAATCATCATTAGGGTATCTAGTTTAAAAAATGTGTCCGATGACCCCGCCAACCAACCAAGATGGCCGCCATGGCTAAAAATAGAACATAGGGGTAAAATGTAGATTTTGGCTTATATCTCTGAAACCAAAGCATTTAGAGTAAATCTGACATAGGGTAAAACTATTTATCAGGTCAAGATCTAACTGCCCTGAAATTTTCAGACAAATCTGACATCCTGTTGTTGGGTTGCTGCCCCTGAATTGGTAATTTTAAGGAAATTTTGCCGTTTTTGGTTATTATCTTGAATATTATTATAGATAGAGATAAACTGTAAACAACAATAATGTTCAGCAAAGTAAGATCTACAAGTAAGTTGTCATGACCAAAATTGTCAGTCGACCCCTTTAGGAGTTATTGCCCTTAATAGTCAATTTTTAACAATTTTTTGTAAATTTTTGTAATCTTTTACAAAAATCTTCTTCTCTGAAACTACTGAGACAAATTTAACCATACTTGGCCATAATCATTATTAGGGTATCTAGTTTAAAAAATTTGTCCGATGACCCCGCCTTCCAACCATCATGGCCGACTTGTTTAAAAATAGAACATAGTGGTAAAATGCAGTTTTTGGTTTATATCTCTGAAACTAAAGCATTTAGAGCAAATCTGACAAGTGGCAAAATGTTCATCAGATTTAGATTTATCTGCCCTGAATTTTTCAGACGAATCCGACAACCTGTTGTTGGGTTGCTGCCCCTGAGTTAGTAATTTTACAAAAATTTTGCAGTTTTTTGTTATTATCTTAGATAACATTATAATATCTAATATCTAATACTATTAATTATGATTTAACCTTATTTTACATGATTTCCAAAGCATCAGTAAATACAGGTGAGCGACACAGGCTCTTGAGAGCCTCTAGTTTGTTATTATCTTGAATATTATTATAGATATATATAAAATTTAAGCAATAATGTTCAGCAAAGTAAGATCTACAAAAAGTTTATATGACCAAAATTGTCAATTGACCCCTTAAGGATTTATTGCCCTTTAAATACAATTTTACACAATTTGTTGATCAAGTTTCCTAACATTTTAAAATCTTCTCCTCTGAAACAACTGGGCCAAATACCTTCAAACTTTAACTAAATGTTCCTTAGGATATCTTGTTTACAAATTGTATCCGAAGTTTGTATCCATCAACAAACATGGCCGCCATGGCTAAAAATAGAACATAAGGGTCAAATGCAGTTTTTGGCTTATATCTCAAAAACTAAATCTTTTAGAGCAAATGTGACATGGGTAAAATTGTTCAATTGGTCAGGATCTACCAGCCCTGAAATTTTCAGACGAATCAAACAACCCATTGTTGGGTTGCTGCCACTAAATTGGTAGTTTTGAGGAAATTTTGCAGTTTTTTGTTATTATCTTGAATATTATTATAGATAGATATAAACTGTAAACAGCAATAATGTTCAGCAAAGTAAGATCTACAGAAAAGTTAAATGACCAAATTTGTCGATTGACCCCTTAAGGAGTTATTGCCCTTTAAAGACAATTTTACGCAATGTGTTCATCAAGTTTGCTAACATTTAAAAATCTTCTCTTCTGAAACTATTGTGCCTAATACTTCTTAACTTTGAATAAATGTTCCTTTAGGAATCTAGTTTATGAATTGTATCCAAAATTTTGATCCATCAACAAACATGGTCGCCATTGCTAAAATCAGAACATAGGGGTGAAATGCAGTTTTTGGCTTATATCTCAGAAACTAATGCATTTAGAGCAAATCTGACATGGGGTAAAATTGTTCAAAAGGTCAAGATCTATCAGCCCTGAAATTTTCAGACACACCGAACAACCCATTGTTGGGTTGCTGCCACTAAATTGGTTGTTTTAAGGAAATTTTGCAGTTTTTGGTTATTATCTTGAATATTATTGAAGATAAAGATAAACTGTAAACAGCAAAAATGTTCAGCAAAGTAAGATCTACAAAAAAGTTTAATATGACCAAAATTGTCAATTGACCCCTTAAGGAGTTATTGCCCTTTAAGTACAATTTTACACAAGTTGTTTTATTTTTTTTAACTTTAAAAATCTTCTCAAATGAATCTAGTATAAATTTTGTATTTCATTTCCTTGTACGTCAAGAAACATAGACACTATGGCTAAAATGGAACATATGGGTAAAAAGCAAAAATAATCATTGATGAAAGATTTAAGCAAAAAAAATAACAGGCGAGCGATTCAGGCTCTTGAGAGCCTCTTGTTTGTTATTAATATGAATATTATTATAGATATATATATAAACTTTAAGCAGCAATAATGTTCAGCAAAGTAAGATCTACAAAAAAGTTTAATATGACCATAATCGTCAATTGACCCCTTAAGGAGTTTTTGCCCTTTAAAGACAATTTTACACAATTTGTTCATCAAGTTTGCTATCATTTAAAAATCTTCTCTGAAACTACTGGGCCAATTACCTTCAAACTTTAACTAAATGTTCCTTAGGGTATCTTGTTTATAAATTGTATCCGAAGTTTGTATCCATCGACAAACATGGCCGCCATGGCTAAAAATAGAACATAAGGGTCAAATGCAGTTATTGGCTTATATCTCAAAAACTAAATCTTTTAGAGCAAATGTAACACTGGGGTAAAATTGTTTAATTGGTCAAGATCTATCAGCCCTGAAATTATCAGATGAATCGAACAACCCATTGTTGGGTTGCTGCCACCGAATTGGTAGTTTTAACAAAATTTTGCAGTTTTTATACTACCGCAAAAATTAAATATTTTTTGGTCGTATATTGGTATGACGTTGGCGTCGTCGTCGATGTCGTCGTCGTCGTCCGAAGACACATTGGTTTTCGCACTCTAACTTTAGTTTAAGTGAATTGATCTCCATGAAATTTTACCATAAGGTTCAATACCACAAAAGGAAGGTTGGGATTGATTTTGGGGGTTATGGTACCAACAGTTAAGGAATTAGGGGCCAAAAAGGGGCCAAAAATAAGCATTTTTGTAACTTCCAGACATAGCTTGTGTGGTAGTGTATGGATCTCTCTGACATTGTACCACAAGGTTCCATATCACAAAGGGAATGCTGGGATTGATTTTGGGGGTAATTGCCTCAAATTTTTAGGAATTAGGGGCCAAAAAAGGGGCAAAAAACAAGCATTTTTCTAGTTTCATGATAATAACTTGTGTGTAAGAGTATGGATCTTTCTGAAATTGAACTACAAGGTTCCATATTACAAAGGGAAAGCTGGAATTGAGTTTGGGGGTAATTGCCCAGAACATTTAGGAATAAGGGGCCAAAAAGGGGCCAAAAATAGCATTTTTCTAGTTTCCAGACAATAACTTGTGTTCAAGTGTATGGATCGCTCTGAAATTGTACTGCAAGGTACCATACCACAAAGGGAAGGCTTGGATTGATTTTGGGGGTAATTGCCCCAAAATTTTAGGAATTAGGGGCCAAAAAGGGGCAAAAAACAAGCATTTTACTAGTTTCAGGACAATAACTTGTGTGTAAGTGTATGGATCTTTATGAAATTGTACTACAAGGTTCCATATCACAAAAGGAAAGCTGGGTTTGAGTTTGGGGGTAATTGCCCTAAACGTTTAGGAATTTGGGGCCAAAAAGGGGCCTAAAAACAAGCATTTTTCTAGTTCCCAGACAATAACTTGTGTTCAAGTGTATGGATCTCTCTGAAATTGTACTGCAAGGTACCATACCACAAAGGAAGGCTGGGATTGAGTTTGGGGGTGATGAATCATAAGGGGGTTCAAAAAATTTAGGGGAGGGATTTTTTTTTCTTTTTTTTTTTTTTGAAATTTTTCATTTTAAATTGGTTATTTCTGATTTATATATAAAAGCAAATAATAATGATATGGTTTGAATAGGTAAATTAAAAATTTTAAAGTTCTTAGACCACATTCATTCTGTGTCAGAAACCTATGCTGTGTCAAATATTTAATCACAATCCAAATTCAGTGCTGTATCAAGCTTGAATGTTGTGTCCATACTTGCCCCAACTGTTCAGTGTTCGACCTCTGCGGTCGTTTCAAGCTGCGCCCAGCGGAGCATTTTATTTGTTATTATTTTGAATATTATTATAGATATATATAAACTGTAAGCAGCAATAATGTTCAGCAAAGTAAGATCTACATAAAAGTTAATATGACCAAAATTGTCAATTGACCCCTTAAGGAGTTATTGCCCTTTAAAGACAATTTTACATAATTTGTTCATCAAGTTTGCTAACATTTAAAAATCTTCTCTTCTGAAATACAGGTGAGCTATTCAGGCTCTTGAGAGCCTCTTGTTTTATATCAAATATTAACCAATAAATTTCAAAATCTAATGTTTCATTACAAAATTATTGTTTTAGTCAAACCTGCGACTTTAGTTGCAGAAAGCTTGACATAGGGATAGTGATCCGGTGGTGTCGGCGGCGGCGTTTACTAACTTCTTTTAAAAAAGCTTTATATTTTAGAAAGTGGGAGACCTGGATGCTTCATACTTTGTATATAGATGCATTATGTTACAAACTTACCATTAGTCATATGTTCATTGTCCTTGATCTCATTTTCATGGTTCAGTGACCACTTGAAAAAAATTTAAGATTTTTTGTAATGTTAATTTCTCTTATTATGAGCAATAGGATACCTTTATTTGGTATGTGCATACCTTGCAAAGTTTTAATGCCCGTCAGACAGTTTTCACTTGACCTCGACCTCATTTCATGGATCAGAGAACAAGGTTAAGTTTTGGTGGTCAAGTCCATATCTCGGATACTATAAGCAATAGGTCTACTATATTTGGTGTATGGAAGGATTGTAAGGCGTACATCCCAAACTGGCAGGTGTCATCTTACCTTGACCTCATTTTCATGGTTCAGTGGTTATAGTTAAGTTTTTGTGTTTTTAAACTGTTTTAGTCTGTTTTTCTTATACTTTATGCAATAGGTCTACTATACTTGGTGTATGGAATGATTGTAAGGTGTACATGTCCAACTGACATACTTCATACTTTGTATATAGATGCATTATGTTACGAACTTACCATTAGTCATATGTTCATTGACCTTGACCTCATTTTCATGGTTCAGTGGTCAGTTAAGTTTTTAAGTTTTGGTCTTTTTATGCCCCATTTATGGGCATTATGTTTTCTGGTCCGTCTGTTCGTTCGTCCGTCTGTCCGTTCGTCCGCCTGTCCCGTTTCAGGTTAAAGTTTTGGTTAAAGTTTTTGGTCGAGGTAGGTTTTGATGAAGTTGAAGTCCGATCAACTTGAAACTTAGTAAACATGTTCCCTATGATATGATCTTTCTAATTTTAATTCCAAATAAGAGATTTTATCCCATTTTCACGGTCCACTGAACATAAAAAATGATAGTGCGAATGGGGCATCCATGTACTTGGGACACATTCTTGTTTTCTAATACTATATGCAATAGGTCAACTATATTTGGTGAAGGGAAATATTTTATGATATACATGTCAGTCTAGCAGGTTTCATTTGACCTTGACCTCAATTTTATGGTTCATTGCTCAGTGTTAAGTTTATGTGTTTCTGTCTTTTTTTCTTAAACTATAAGCAATAGGTCAACTATATTTGTTGTATGGAAGGATTGTAAGCTGTATATGTATGCCTGGCATGGTTCATCTGAACTTGACCTCATTTTCATGGATCATTGGTCAATGTTTAGTTTTATTGCTTAAGTCTGTTTTTTTAGAAACTATATAAGCAATAGTTTAACTATATTTAGTGTATTTAATGATTGTTAGGTGTACATGTATTTCATGTTTGGTTTAATTAACCTTAACCTCATTTTCTTGGATCATGTTAAGTTTATTTAATAGTTGTAGTAAAGATCTCTATTTAGGCGAGACATTCAGTGTGTGCACTCTTGTTTTCCTTATAGTAAACTTTATAGAATAATAATTGTTATTTTTCTGTATTTCAGGGGACTTGAGGAGAACCAGATTAGGAAGATATCTAAGAATCATTTGTCATCTGTAATTAACTCACCATTGATTCATCTGTAAGTTTATTTATCATCTGTCATTAACTCACCATTGATTCATCTGTAAGTTTATTTATCATCTGTCATTAACTCACCATTGATTCATCTGTAAGTTTATTTATCATCTGTCATTAACTCACCATTGATTCATCTGTAAGTTTATTTTTCATCTGTCATTAACTCACCATTGATTCATCTGTTAGTTTATTTATCATCTGTCATTAACTCACCATTGATTCATCTGTTAGTTTATTTATCATCTGTCATTAACTCACCATTGAATCATGTGTTAGTTTATTTATCATCTGTCATTAACTCACCATTGATTCATCTGTAAGTTTATTTATCATCGGTCATTAACTCACTATTGATTCATCTGTAAGTTTATTTATCATCTGTCATTAACTCACCATTGATTCATCTGTAAGTTGTATAGACAAGTAAATTGATTTTACTGGTTTTATTATGTTTGACCATTGAAGTAAACCGTATACCAAGAGAAGTCCAGAAAAAAGTATAAAAAAATGTTTGACCATTAAAGGCAATAATGTAGAAAATGTTCATTTTAGTCATGTTTTAAAAGATTTGGGTCTCATATTTATACACAATTTTAAATTTTATTCAACCATTTACTGACATATAGTTCCTCATGTAAAACTGCATCTGATATGCTTCCTCAATATATACATGGATTTAAATAAGAATTCACATACTAAGATAAAGCTTACTTCAAGAAAATAAACAAAATTAAGTAAACCACAGTGAGAAAAGAAACTCTGATATGTTCCAGATGCCAATAGATCAAATTGTATGCATAAGAGCATCAGTTGCTACTCATTTTCTATAAAATAACCCAGTTATAACATGCACATTAATTATACAACTTCTAAATCACACAATTTAAAAAACAATTATACCACTCACTTCACTTGTAGAACACTCATCTAAAAAAACTTATTTTTGAAAAATATATAAAAACAAAAACATTTTGTTTGCTTGCCCCATATTTTTTTATCACTTGGCATCTGTTGTTGTCCATCGCATCGCCTTAACGTTTAAATTATTCAGCAAAGTAAGATCAACGAATAAGTCAACATAAACAAAATTGTTAATAGACCCCTTAAGGAGTTATTGTTTTTTAAAGTAAATTTTCACTATTTTTCTTAAAATTTTTGTAATATTTTACAAAATTTTTCTCTGACACTACTGGGCCAAATTAAACCAAACTTGGCCTAAATCATCCTTCTGGTATCTCGTTAAAAAAAATGTATTTAAGATGGCCGCCATTGCTCAAATTAGAACAAAGGGGTTTATTATAGAAGTCTATAGGAAAATTGTTAAACAACAATGTTAAATGGTCACAACTTGAAAACTAATTTAAACAATGATAATGGGTCTTCAGTAACGATTGTTAAACTGCAATGGTATTACCTGCTTCTAATGTAACTACTGGGCCAAATTAAACCAAAATTGGTCTCAATCATTATTGGGGCTAACTTATATATACTATTTATTATGAGTTTAATCTTATTTTACATGATTTCCAAAATCACAGTAGATCTAATCAGGTGAGTGACACAGCTCTGAAGAGCCTCTAGTTTGGAGTGTGTCACTCAGGCCTTAGACAAAACCTACAAATAATTCAACATGCTTCTAGACTCTTTATATTATTGAAGTCATTGCCGCTTAATGAATACTTTAACAGTTGGTTCATTATAGGGTTGATTGCAATTAAATGATGATTTTACCAATTTTTTGTGTTATTGCCCATCATTTTGAAACTATATAGATGGAAAGAAACTTGAAATAGCAAAAGTGATTTAACACATATAAGTCAATGTAACTACTGGTAAGGTCATTGGTCAATTCTTTAAAGGGGTTAGAGCCCTTAAATGTAAAAGATTTTCTTTTTGCATTCTTTTGCCTAATAATTGGAAATATAATAGATAGAAATTTCAAAACACAAAAATGATCTGGAAGACAAGATTTATAACTTGAGCATTATAGATGAAATTGTTTTATTGTATTCATATGGGAGTTATTGCCTGTAAATGATGATTGTTTTAAAAATTTTGTGCTTCTGCAAAAACTGTAGAGAGAAACTGAAAACTGAACATGACTATCAACTATACAAGATCAACAAAAGATATATATTTAGTCTTGAATTATGTTCTAGTCTAAAATTTTGGAGGATTTCTATTGTTTAATATTCTAATAGACCAAGGTTAACAACATAGGCTCTATAAAGCCCCTATACAATGAACGTATTAGAAAAAAACCTTAGATTTCCTCGTTATTTATGCATAACCACAAAAAAATTAGATACAGATGTGTACTTGTTAGAATATCCAAATTTAATTATTGTTAGAAATATACCTAAAAGTAAACAATTAAAACAATGTTAACAGGTCAGTGTAAGGGGACACAGTGTGCTAAATGTTTTATCAATTTCAAATTAAAAAAAACTTAATTCTTGTGAATTTCATTTGATGTAGAAAGATGTGTTATTGGAATTTATTGAACCTATATTTTTCCAACAATTTTATGTAATTTTATTTTCAGAAATTTAAGCAATAATATCATAGATTACATTGAACCAAATGGATTGAAGCAGTTATCATCATTAAAAATTTTGTAAGTATACCTATTTATTATAGAAATATGAGGAAGCTTTTTTTCTCTTTGAACTTTATATTCATTTTTAAAAAAGGAAGAGAGTTATGGGACATTAACTGTCAGATTTAAAGCATTTTCCCATAAATAGAACAATACTCTGTATAAATCATTTTAAGATATAGCAGGTGCAATTTTTTTTAATCAAATTTATTTTGGAGACTTGAGGTTACTTTATTACATGGTTACTAAAGCTTGTTAACAGGAAAATAAGGAGTGAAAGTTTGATTGGTTAACTTCCAGTGATGGTTATTATCAGGCAAGTATACTTGAGTAGTAAATACTAAGACAGTATGTAAGTAAGTACAAAGTTCTTTAGCTTAGATGTTTGGAGCCTGAGGTGACAATGAGATTTCCTAGTGAGAATCATGTCCTCATGTTACAACACATACAATTGTGTTCCTTGATATAACAGGGTGGTTTTAAGGCTCGTATAACAACATTCTGTTTAGGGTTCTTCCTACTTTATTAATATTCAGGAAATATAAAAATACAGCCCTGAAATAATAATAACAAGTTTATAATGAGGTTATTAATTATCACAGTTACATATGAAGTAATCACGTATTTGTATTTATAATAGCTGACGTCATTTAATAAATACAAAGTTAAAATATCATAGCCATAACGAACGTAAACGTAATGATAAGTAAATCATCAACATTTGAATATCAAACTTTCCTAAATGAAACATTCTATTAACATATATCATGGTACCATAGCATGTCAATAATACACAAGTTAATAGAGATCAAGATAAGCCTTACCAATTTGTGGAGTCAGGCTATACACAACATCAAAAGCATAACATTAGCATTATAACCAATGCTCTACATCTATCATCAAATATATGTCTGTATGATCAATGGGTCCTACAAACAATGTACTATATTAATCCACATTACTAGTCCCCCCCAATCCTCCCTATATTATGCTCCTTATTCTATTAAGGGACTATGTTGCTATTACTTAAGTGCTTTCTTTTGGGGACCGAACCAAATGCTGAAAAGATACAGTGCAAATGAAAGCATCTGTTTTACACTAATCAGAGATCAGTAAGTGCCCAAGACATGTTAACCGGTTCTTGGTTAGAAGTATAAACTGAACAAACACAGGTTTGGGACAAAGAACCACAGTTTAATATTTTCTTTGCATATCAATAAAGCAATAAACATAATTACAAACAAAGCAAAATCAAGTTGAAAATCTGTGGTACTCCAAAACAAACCCCAAACCTGTGTAAAGGTAGAGAGTAGGACATGCGTCAGAAACATGCTAAAGACTGAGGGCTGATGCGAAAAACCATTCATTTTCCTTAGAAAACTGAAGAAAACTCTGTCATGTCTGTGTGCCTGTAAGCCTAAAAATAAGAAAACGGAGAGAATGACAGGACATGTGAGGAACATGGTGTTGTACATACAAAGGGGTGGATAAGCATTCCTTCATAAAAAATTGACATAACTTTAATTCATGCAATCTGGAAATAGCATCAGCTAAAACATGTTGCTTCCCAGGCAAATGAATTGCGACCAGATGAAAATTATAAGAAGCAGATAGCCAAAACAATTCACGCAAAAAGGACATCAAAAGTTTGTTCCTTGAGGTACACTTATTGATACAGGCAACAGTTGATGCATTATCACAAAAAATATATACACGCTTATTTTGCCAGCACTTAGCCCAACGTTTGACTGCCAAAGCCACTGCAAGTGCCTCTTACTCATTTATATGCAAAGATTGCGCAAATGGGAAATCCTCTTTCCAATTGACATAAAACCAATCAGTACCAAAAACTCCACCTGCTCCTGTATTGCAAGCATCAGTGTAAACTGAGGTAACAGGATCAGTATTTAGTAAGACGGATTTCCCATTGAAAGTTGCCATAAAATTGTACCACCAATGGATATCATGCAAAATTTCCCCGCCTAAGCGCATTTTGTGCCTGTCATGCTTGAGCTGCTTTATGCTGTCAATGATTCTCCGGAGAAAAACTCTCCCGCTGTGAACCACTGACGAAGCTCAGTTAAGCTTGCCCGCCAGGGACTGCAATTGTTTCTTAGAAACATGCTTGCGCTGCTGAAAACTTGCTAGTTCTCACCTTAATTCATCAAGTTTTTTAATAGGTAATCTTAATTTTAATGTTGTGGAGTCAATCTCCACACCTAAAAATACTAATTTCTGGCATGGGTCCACAACCTTGGACCAACTAATAGAAAAACCTAACTTACGCAGCAAGTAAATTAAAACCCTAAGTGCATGTGCACAGGGCTGCTTTGTGCTTTCACAAATGAAAAAAATCATCTAAATAAGCTATAATGGTAAAACCTCTGCGTGACATCATGCAGGGGATAGCTTGTGATAGCCTATGAAAGATACCTGGTGCTAGTTTTGAGCCAAAGGGTAATTTTTTATCAATAAAAGTATGGGTCTGACCGTCAGGAAAAGTCCACTGTAAACCAGTTACCTGTTGACTATGAGGACTGATGCTAACAGATCTATAGGCCGACTTTAAATCAACTTTGGCCATGAAACAGTTTTTTGTGACTAATTTTGCTGCATCATCAACAGATTGAAACTTTTGTTTTTCTACCTCTCCTGAAAAATCATTTAAAGCAGACCCTAGCGGTCTGCTGCAGTTGTGAATTAACCTTACACCCCCATCAGATTTTGGAATAATACCTAAAGGGCTAATAATTTTAGGTGTGGACTTAGCATACTCATAATTCCCATTTTCAATTTCAGTCAAAATCTGTTGATGGGCTTTTTCATATAAGGGACTTGAAGGATTAGCTGAAGGGTGATTTTTTGCCGATATGTTCAAGGAAGCCAAATTATCTTGAACAATGTTGAACCCATCTTTTATACCTTGCAAAAGAAAATCTTTATCAACATCATATTTTAGTTCCTCTTGCCAAACATTATACACTAAGTCATGCACAGGCTTTACCTTTATCCGTTTTTTGGATGAGCAAAGGCCTGGTGTTGGGCACCACAACCCTGAATTGAACAAATATGTACATAGCGACAGTTTGGAAATGAGCAACCTTTCCTACTGTTAAAACTTTTGCATATTTCACTTCCCTCTATAGAGTGTGAAGCCAGATGCCTGAGGTTTATTGTATATAGCTTTAGGCCGCAAGTAAACTGACTGTAAATGGGGAATGTCAGTGCCCCATCTAAAAGTATGCTGCTTTTGAAGCCTACGATATTCTCTATAAAAAAACAGCACTGACACAAATTCACATGATGAAACTAAGTGATAAAATCTCATGGTATATGACAAATAATCGAGGACCTGTGTCTGTGTCAGTTGTCCAGTGCTGAGCAGCTTATACATTATTGACAAGTTTGCCCTAGACCATTGACACAGAGACAGAGATTCAAGCTTTGGCTTTAGTGGCCCAGACTTAAACACTAGTTGCCCCCCTGATGCATTGGAAATAAGGCGCTCCTCAGGCAAACTGGTCCCCCTTATATCATTTGAGACAAAATCTATAAAATCGAGATAATTGACATTACTGTCTATGTTTGAATGTTTTAAATAAATTTGCGGATCCTGCCAAGACAGGATAGAGTTAATGCCTGGCCCAGGTCCAGGGTTACCTAAATTGTTTACTGAATTGTCACTTTCATTCACATTTGAGTTTCCCGCAAAGTTCTGGTTTTGACCTCCATCCAATGAAACGGAGGAATGTCTATATTGTGTCTGCTGTCCGGAAAGCTGATGCAATACAGCATTAAAGTATGCTTTGTCTGTGTTTGTCTATATTCCGCCATCTTTAAGTTGATAATGGGCGCCGCCATCTTTGTTCACATTACTTCCGTTGTCGCCATCTTGGTATGCACATGCACCAGAATTTGATATTGCCGGAAGTCCAGAATTTTCCGCCATTCTCTCGCTGTTCGAAAAGTCTTTCTTGAACGTTTTTTCCACTGCTCGCAGTAATAATTTTCATTGTCCAATAGGGATGCACTATTCACTCAAATCTTCCTTCTCTATCTACGAGACGACCTCCATGCTGTCAAATCCAAGTTCCAAAATTTCATTCGCGGTAGCTGCGTTCAGCTTCATCACTCTGGCCCATGCCTTTACTTTGTCGGACTGGTTATCGGGTCCCGTCCTAAATGTGATATCTTCGTCATCAGACATGATGCAAAGACAGTTTATTGAAAAACAACAGTGTGTAGCAATTATCGTCTTGCCGTTAAATTCTCTCAGAATACGAATTAATCCTGTCTCGCGGACTTATCAGAAGCTCAAAACGCATAACTTTGGAATATTAACCCGCCATTGCACGCTGATGCAGATTCCAGAATCAAACTTTAAAACACAAAATTGACACTGCTTCCGGATTGTATTTAAATTTGCACATTTTAACATCAATTTTTGACATTAAAAGACCAATTGGAAAAGTTAATGCAAAAACACTTCGTATACGTTTTCCGAAACGTTCATATATAATATGGTCCATTTCCACATTGAAAACCTAAATCCATTCATGATTATATAAATATATCTTGATAAACTGCTGACAAAAAATAAATTATTTCCCAGAAATATTTGAAAGTCTGCTCAAAGCAAGCGTTGCTTTCAGAATAATTATGTGCTTGTGCCTAAAACAAAAGCCCTGTTAATTAAGCCAGATTGGTTAATTCAAATGCAATGTTAATTTTGATTGGTTAATTAGTATGATCTCGAAAAAGCAATTAGTAAACGAGATTTCACATGCAGCAGTAACTGGGAAACCCCCACACTGATTGGACCAGGAATTCCCAATTAAAATAATATGTACAGGCATTGCACAAAAACGTATTGTGTATTGATAATCTATTTATACAAAATAGTTCCAATAAGTATTCAAATACACATTACAGTTCCATATAAACAAATCATTACAAGTTTTTGGATAATCAATTACTATTTTAATATAAACTTAGTTATCACATATTAAAATTACTGG